GGTGTAAAATTCCATTTGGTCTATTCACATTTTGACTTTGCCATGAAAAAGTAACACATCTCTCAGTTAGGGGCCAAGTAAAAGTGTTAAGCTTTCATAAATTGGGCTTTAGGGAACAGTGAAAGAGAAGGGGGAAACAAGGTTATGACAGGTAAACCGTGACATTGACAGGTGAGTATTTTGGTCATGATTAACTAAATAACAGAAACCATTTTAAGTATTTACACCAATAGGGAATGTGTTAGCCACGTTTCTGCTGCTGGGACTCATTACTGGACACCCAAAACTCAAAGGAGGAGAGGTTTAATTTGGCTCATGGTTTCAGGAGATTCAATTCATGATCCTTTGGTTTGAAGGAAGAAACATCGAGATAGGAGGGTGTGGAGGAGTAAAGGATTTTAGTTCCTTGCAGCTGGGAAGAGGAGCAGAGAAACACTCCCAGAGAGGAAGACAGTAGGGACCAGATAGACACTATGGCCATGTCTCCATGGCCTACCCAGGCATATCTGGAAGTATGCTTCACTAATACCCTTGGCAGCTCCCAAGCCAATCAAATTGACAATTAAGCTTAACCATCACAGGGAATTTATTTGACACAGAACTGGTTACCTACATGATGAAGAAGCTAAGAGTGAGGAAACTAAGAATTTAACCACAACAGGAAGCCACTACTTGGTCTAGACCAGAAGGGGAAAGAGAGGACAGTCTGTATCATTAGATGGAAGCTGACTCACAGTGGCCCATCCAGCCAAAGCTGATACCATGGAGGGGGTGGAACCTTTGGCAGAAAATCTACCTGAGGCAAATGGATGAGCAAGAGCAAGGGGTGAAGGATAAACTAGTAAACTCTGTGGACTTTGCCTCCTCCTCCCTCTCCTGCCAGTGGCTTTGGTAGGCTGCCACATCTAGAACTTAGCCCCCTCAAAGCTCCTGTAAAACACAGCTGGTCAGGGTCAATTTTCCTATGGTTCAGAGCATAGAAAGCAGAGCAAGGATCTGAGGGCAATGAGGGCCAGACTCAGCATGCATAATCATGCCTCTGTGAATTAATTAACTGGTTTACCCCTTTTCCTATAAAGCCAAAATCTATGAGTGGGTTTGGTGAATGTCTCACTGTTTGGATTTTATAAGACTTAATGTGAGCTATTACAATAAAGCCCAGTGGTCCTCCTAGATATATATGCCCTTATAATTTTGAAAGTTTTACTACATTATTTCCTCTTTATAACATATTTATATTTATTTGAAAACCAGAACAAACAAAAAGTTGCAAATTTTAAGAGTGTGAGAAAGCCTAGTTCAGTTCATAGCTTTCAATTCTTTTAACACTGTAGATAAGGATTGTGTTAACATCGCTAGTAGTGGCAGGAAAACATCAGGCTAGTGTTCCTGTGATTCCCAAATGGGGAATTCCAAACCACAAAGGAATGGTAAAACAGGCCACTCCTAGGATCAGAGAAAAATGCAGAAAGGGCATCACTGGATTTTTCCTGCCCGTGAATCTTGCCAGTCAGTACCTGTACTCCTTGTTTCTCTAGTTGTGGTTATTACGCTAGGGTTGCCACTGCATTTTGGGAAAAACTGTGTTCTGTGCTTGGCTGGTATCTTGTTCTGAGGTACTCCAGTTCAGCCTTTCAACCAAGAAAATAGACTTGTGGCATTTCTTTTATTGAATTTTTAACAGTCTCTTTAGTAAACAGAGGTAGTTGAATGATTGTTTTAAGAGCTCAAAAGATGACAAACTTCTTTTCTAGAAAGAAGACATTTCCTGACAACTTCATCATGTGTAACATCTTTTATTTTTTTCCTTTGCTTTCTTCCAAGATTTTGGTTAGTGAAAAATAAAAAAGAAAGGAAAATGTGTCAAAAGTCCATCAGTTTTAACTCCCTGTGACAGGGATGAAGGAAAATACTTTAATAGTTCAAAAGGTAATAATGCCAAAAGCTCTCTATGAAAGACTTATTGTAAAAGTGTACATAATTGTAAAAAAAAGAAGTCTTTAAACATGTTTATTTTCTATGGATTTTTTAATAAGTGACAGTTTAATTAATAAAGATGTCAAGTTTAAAATTTTTGAGGTTTCACTATGTAGTTCAGGCTGGCCTTGAACTCACTATGTAGCTCAGGCTGGCCTTGAATTCATGGCAATCCTCCTGCCTCAGCCTCCCAAGTGCTAGGACTACAGGTGTGTGCCGCCACACTTGACTTAACTTGCTAAGGATTTAGGTAGCCATTCTTCCATTACTTAAGGGTATTTAAACATGAATTGCAATCTAGAATTTGCCTTGAGTTTAGAACACAAGAACTAGCTTCAAGGTTATGCAAGAAATATACGGGATAGTAAACACATATCCCCAGCCAACATTATAACATGTTTTCAACCACATTATTCTGTTGGTTAATCCCTCCATTTTAACTATTAAAATGTAACAACATTCTGCTTTTCTACCTTAGTTAAGGCAAGATTCCTGAGTGTGATCTGCTATAAAAAGTACCATAACCTGGGTACTTTGTAAACAACAGAAATTTATTTATAACAGTTGTAGAGACTAGGAAATTCAAGACCAAGGCACCCACAGATTCAGTGCCTGGTAAGGGTCCATAGCTGGCAACTTCAGCTGTGTCCTCACAGAGTGGAAGAGATGAGACATCTCTGTTCTGCCTCCTTTATAAGGACACTAATCCTGTCATAAACACCCTCTCTTCATTTTCTAATTACTTCCCAAAGGCACAAACTTCCCAATACCATCACCTTGAAGGTTAGGATTTCAACATATAAATTTTGATGGTACATAAACATTCATGTGACAGCCCTGTTTCTCCTCGCCTTGAACAATGAAGGAAAAATTCATGTTTTCTCTTTCAGATTGCTTTCTCAAGCACAGATCATCTGGAGAAATACTGTCAGTATTTCTGTAGCATCTTAAATTTTCAAAGAACTTTCTTTTGGCAATATTTCATTCGTCCTTCCCATAACTCCTTGTTTAGGTGCTGGCAGTAGCTATCACCAAAGCCATCATTTCCAAGAGCATGCAGCCTTCCTCTCCTCTGTTCTGTTCAGTTCTGACCATTCCCGTGTCTCTGAAATTTTGACCAATTTGGACTTAAATCTAGGATATCATAGAAAGCAACATATTCTTTATGGAAATTCAAATGACACACCCTCAAGTGAATTAGAAGGGCCTGCTTTCTATACTTAAACTGATGGAATAATGGCTTGTCTAATATCTTTGGAATTAGATGCGATAAAGGAAGCTTAAATGCTACCTACCCTGTATCACAGATGGAAATCTGCTTATGCATTTATCTTTCCAAAAGAGATAATCCTCATTTGACAGTATGGAGATCATGATCTGCTATGTATATCACCAACTGTCCACAATCAAAGATAGGTGCCCAGAGTTGGGTGTGATGGCACACATCTGTAATCCCAGCACTCTGGGAGGATGAGGAAGGAGGATTGCAAATGTGAATCCAGCCTGGGCAATTCAGGCACTTAATGAGAATCTGTCTCAAAAAAGAAATGATAGATGGCTGAATGCAAGTCCATCCAATTTCCTACCAGGTTGGGGTCCTCACATTATGAGTGGTCTGACATACTCGCATGTGCCAAGGCAGAATGTAAGAATAAGCTATTATGGAACTGCATGCCTGTCTTTTTCTTCATTCCTCCCTTTTAAATGAAGTTAAGAGAAACTGGGAACCCTAAAACATTGCTCTCCCAGAGAAGTGGAAAGTGTTCATGAGATGAGAAGTCATTGTAAGGCATAAGAAGCCCAGCCTCAGCTCATATCCATGAGATTACTGTTACTACATTAAACAACAGTGGAGCAGCAACATGTGAGATAATGAGCAGACAATAGGAGAAAGACTGTGGGAGAAAACCCTCTTCTTTATTCCTCTTGAGTTCACTCTGACAGAGCTTTAAACAAGTGTGAAGACTTTTACAAATGAAAAACAGCATAAAGGAGCATTGAGGCTGTTCTCCAACACAGCCCCCCAAATCCCTACTCCTACTAACGGGAACCCTGCACACACAACCATCCAAGATCAGACCTCCTAAGTAGAGCAGTTTTTCTTGGAGATTTTTCTCCTTGGGACTTTAATTAAGCTCCTGCCAGGCTTGCAAGGTTTTTAATTTTACCTTTCTTTCTTCTTTCTTTCTCTTTCTTCCTTACATCAGCTTGCTTGCCAGGAAACTTTTTCTAAGCTGTCACAGTTATAGTAAATGTACACTAAGATATTAAATTTAGAGATGGACTAGTAATTGATTTTCTAAGGATCCATAGCAGAGATTTTTTTACATACGGAAAAGATTTTATTCATTCATTCACTCCTTCAGTTCATGTGTGTCTATTTTATGAGTGATAAAACAATAGAAAAAGGAGTTTCATGGAGTGTTCAGTGGCCACTGGTTAGTAAGTGATATAACACAGGCTCCCATAAACTTACCTCTCACACAGGAGAAACTTGCCATCGCTTAATTTGATATTCGCACTGCTCATAAGCAAATTGTAGCTGTTTCACAGTGTTAGTGGGTAAAGATTGAGTGAGCCAAGAGAATATGATGCCTCAGTTGATAATGTTACATATACTTAATGAAATGTAATATTTAATTGACTTAGGTTCCTTTTCAAGACCCTTTTGTTCTTCAACTCATTGCAACTCTTACAGTATGAAGGCAGGATCTTGAATGGCAAAAGGTGATTCTAAAGCAGATTCTAGGAGAAGCTATTTTCATTTGAGGAAGCTTAGTTAAATTGGTCACCTTAAATGGATGCTATCTTCTCTGTTCTGAGCAATTTCTTTAAAAAATCAGTAATATTGCATGAGCAGAAATAAAACAAGCCATCAAAGCAACAAATACTAAAATGACAGAAATGGAGCATTGGCAGTATTATCTGTTCTCTGCGGTTGTTATTGTCATCATTATTATTTACTTAATAATTCCGCAGTGTCATATTATTGCACCAACTGCTCCTGTCTGTGAGGTACTTACTGATTGCCTCGACAAACTGCTCAAAGAAACTGTAAGGGAAGAGCGGCTCAGGCAGCTCCCGGAAAAACATCTTCAGTGCTCCGGTGACAACGTGGATGTCCTCCCACTGGCTGTCGTCCAAATTCAGCTTCTCTTCTGGGAAAACACGAGGAGAAATGGAACAACTGGTTTTAATGAAACAATTACAAGACACTAATTATTATGTTAATGTTTGCCTACTATCATCAGCAACCGTTAACAGCCTTCTGCACCTAGAGGTTTGGTGCTGTTCATGGTTGTGTTTTTTCCCCCCTTTTTTCCATAGGAAGGGAACATTTTCAATGGAATACCATCTGTAGGAATGCAGCTAACAAAGAACATGAGACACAAAGAGAAAGTGCCATTGACACAGTATGTCAGACACATTTATTCCCATAATGCATCAGTATGAAAATTAGCATCACAGCACAACACGATTCAAAGCTATTTGGTTTTGAGGCCGAGGGGCTATGAGTTGCCAATGATGGTCGGCTCAAGGGACCGGCCTAAAGGCCTTGCTGAGCCAACAGGAGACATATGCTAAACATGGCAATAGAAAATGAGTTATTGCTTTACATGTGTTAGCCTTTCTATGTACAAGGGAATAATGGGTAACACTTTTTTCCTTTTTTGCCTGAATATAAAGTCAGCAAGGACTAGAATACTCAGTGAAAAAGGATATTAATTCCTTCTTACTGCTTCAAAAATATCTTTTTTCAGTTTTCATCTCAGTGAGGAAAATGTGGCCAGTAACAATATTAGACAGACCCCTGTTGGCCTATGTAGGCTATGCAAAGCTGTCAAAAATGATAACACACTGAAGACAAACTACAAGCGCTTACCAACTCTTTAGAAACAACAGAAATGTTTGCTTGAGAAGCTGGAGTGAGTTGAAACACTGAAACACTAAACAAAGTCTTTGCCAAAATGAAGGTTTCAGTAGAAATACAGCGTGCTGGCCAATTATTTTACTTCTCACCCTCAATGTGAAAGTCTGGAAGTATTTTCACCTAAGAAATGGATGTATTAGTGTCTGACAGTGTTAGCTTTACACACAATTAAAAGAGCAGGAGACACAAGTTCTGTTGTTAATCCATAGGATTTGTCTTTCCAAATGGGCTTAAAGAAATGAAAGCTAATCATTTTAGGCAATCTGGAAGTTAACTGAGAATCCGGGAATCCAGGCAAGAACTTAACAGGTATTTGGTCAACTGGACTTTTGTTTCTTTACTGAAGTCTTAGGCTCATATTCACATGTTCCCTCAGCATCAGTTTTATGAATGCCAAGGAGTATTTTGCACCAAAAATATAAGAAAAGCTGAGAATTGTCACTGTGGGGATTCTCTGCATGAGCTGTTTTTTTAATAGTGTTCATATCCTTTTAAAAATATTAGCCCCAATTTCCATCGGATCTTTTTTTCTAATGGACTATTATTTCCAGGGCTAGTAAGTAATGTTCCTGCTCAATAGAATACTTGAAAAAAAGAAACAAAAAAGGAATGAGGTGAATCTGTTTATTTTAGATGGGCTATTTTCTTCTTTCTTTTCAATCTTCATTCCTACCTCAATCATAACACAATAATACGACCCACAACAAAATCAGCAGAGGAGACCTTCTTTCTGCCCTGCAATCATTTTTGATTGATTATATTTCAACAATTAGTCTTTTATTTGGCTATACTCTATTGAAATAGGCCGACAGCATCTTAGCAGGCCAGCTTTAAACAGTCAACTGTTAACAATAGCATCAAAAAGAGAGACCTGATGGGGTTTACTGTCACTTTAAAGAACGGGGTTTTCACATTGTTGAAATCTGTCAGATATTTTGAAATGTCCCTCTCACTATGGTGCCACACCCCCTGCGTGCCCTTATAATAAAATTGGTTTTACTCCTGATTAAATCATTTTCTCCCTACCCACTACCATACTTCTCATAATGGACCTGTGTGCTCTACAGCTGGTGTTCTTCCCATGGTACCAATTCTTACTTTATCTTTTAAGCACTTTGCTGCTAAGATCTCATGCAGAGTGCTTATGTTTTGTTAAGAGCTTCATTCTTAGAGAAATAGCTTAACACATGTTCTAAAAATGTTGTACAACTTATTGCTTAAAACACATTTAGAAAATGTATAAGTACTGTAGCTTTGGCACTGCACCTTTAGTGGAAATCTAAGCACACATGCACACTCACACACACACAATCAGACACACAAAACCATCACAACCAGAAATTTATCAGAACATTCCAACATAAAATGATATTTTGGTGCATAAGTTCCAGACTGCCAAAGGAAAGTGTTTAAAGGGTTAAAAAATGATTTTATCTTAAGCAGGAAACCAATGGCAATAGCAACAAATAATTGCTTAACCAAAGGATAATTCCATTGATATCAGTCACCTCCATGTACATACAAGATGATTCTAGTGAAGGTGAAAATGGAATATTTGAGTGTATGCAAGAGAAAAATCTATCAATCAATAAATACCACTTGATCATGTCCACTTAAAATGCTACATAGTATCATATCAAATCAACTTGTGTCAATTAAATCAATATTTCTACTATAGTTACTTATGTAGTCTTCATTTAAGGAACGTAATAATTTGTAGTTCTCTAAGAAGTAACTCAAGCAAAATGGCAGTTGGAATGAGTTTTTTTGGAATATGGTAGCTGGTTTTTATATTTTTCACAATCAGCCAAGGTGAAGTCTTTTTATAAACTGAAAGGTACCAAGGCATATTTTTCCTGACCACTATGGTTTATCTAAACATTCAGTTATGTCCAAATAATATACCTTCTCATGAATACAACCAATCTGGAAGAATAACTAACCATAGTTATATCCTGTTGTAAAAGGGATCATTATAAATGTGTTCGTAGTATTTGATAAGCATTTTCTAACAAAACTGCTAGCAGTAATAATATCTTTGTACTTTTCCCTTTTCTGATAGAGCAATAGTGTCACACTATTGACATCTGATGATGGGTAGCTCTTTGTTATGAGGGCTGGCCTGTGCATTCTAGGATGTTTAGGCATATTCCTGGTTTTGGCCTGCTAGATGCCAGTAAAAGTTCCCAATGGTAATGATGAAAATGTCTCCAAATACTTCCAAGTATTTTCTGGTCCTGCAAAATTATTCCTGGTTAAGGGTGTATAGAAGTATAGAAGTTATTAAATGTTGGTTTGTGAGGTTTACCTTAGGTAGACAGGGAGCTAGAAATTTAGATACATACATACTGAGATTTCTCTTATAGATACATAAGACTTGGTAATTTTTAAATTAACTTTCTGGGTACACTTTTGACATACATAATGATCACATTTATCATAGGGAATTTGTACCTGTACATTACACATTTTAATCCTTTTTTCCCATTTCCCTCCCTTTCCTGGGTAATTATTATTGACAAAATCAAAATCTCATAAAACCATATTCAGTATACCTTGCAACAAAACAAGAGTTAACAATTATATATTGCCTTACTATATACCCGGGACTATGCTATGAATTTTAAATTCATTATCTGATTTAATTTTTTCAGCAGGATGTTGGGGTAGGTGGTACTGTTATGATGTCCATTTCATAAGGGAAAAATGAAGTGTGGGTAGCTTAAGGAACTTGCTTGTGACTGACAAGCGATGAAAGTAGGATGAGGAGCCAGGGGGTCCCTGCTATGCTCCAAACCAGTGCGTTCAGATGTCATCTCAGCTGGCAGAGAAAGAAGGAAAGGAAAAGGCAAATAAACAGTAATTGCAAGTGGTAATAGGTTGACTATTACTTCAAAGATAGGGATTTTTACATTGTATCCCTAAATATCTTACTTGAGGCTATACTTTTAACTATAAACTGGCCCCATGTTTAGTAGTTCCTTATTTATAGAAGGCACAGATTCTTGTATGAACAGATATAAAACATACTGGTAATGAAATGAAACTGCATTAGGGAAGGGGCAGAGATGAAGCAAGTTTTTATGTGGTGGTGGAGTGCAGAGGAACTAAGAGTGGAAAAGATATTATAGAAAACATCTCTCCCAGGCATAGATTTACCACAAATTCATTGTATATCTATTAGTTTATTTGTAAAATCAAGATAACTAAGAGGATAATTTTTGGTATCAAACGGGATCGACTGTCTTTAAAATGTTTGGAAAGCCTAAGGAAGCAAACATATGTAAGATGCTACTATGACAGGATAGGTGAATAAAGGCCCCTTACAAGAAGTAAGGCAATGGGAATGGTGAGAAAATATCATAAACCATCCTGGCTGTTTTAAAGGACTTATCTCAGTGTGATGCAATTTTTCACATAGAATCAACAAAAAACAGTACAAGCTAGAGTTCAATACTGGGAAAAAGTCTGGTTGACTCAAGATAGCTCACCATCCTTACATTCATAATCTGTGCTGGTTTCTCTTGGCCCTCCAAGTAGACTATCTTAAATTCACTTTGGTTATGGCTTGTGGCTTAAAGCACACAAACAGAATTGAAGATAGGTTAGTCTCCAGAATCCAAATACTATGTGATTTTTATAAGGCCACAAAAAAACCAAAGTGGTATTTCTAAACAAGGCTCTCTTGAAATATCCCTTATTGAAGGATCTTTAGAGTGTTATGTCTGTTTATCTTTTAAGTAGAAGTACCTATATAAGCAAAAAATTATATTTGAAAGAAAAAATTCAACTATAGATAAAGAATAATTTTCTTTATAAAGGAGAACTAAAAACTCCTTTACAGCCTTATATGCTCAATGGTAGTTTCCCTCCAAAAAGGAGCTTTTTGTTTGTTTGTATTTTGAGACAGGGTCTTGCTATGTAGTTCAGGCTGGTTTTGAACTCATGATGTATTCCAGGCTAGGCTCGAAGTCAGCAATCCTCAGCCTTCTAGAGTGCTGGGATTCTAGGTGTGCACTACTACTCCCAGTTCTGGGAGCATTTAAACACCACTAAGAGTGTAATCACCACTTGCTTTTTATATTATATATTGCTCTGTAGATTGGTATATGCAGAAGCCCCAGTATTGAATCTGATGTTAACTAGACCTAAATTGTTTTGATATAGTGTTGATTGAAATGTGGTTGCAGATAACTTGAACTATCTGGAATAGAACAGTAACACAAA